CCGCCCGTGAGCTCCGGGGCGAGAAAAGCCCTGTTCGTAAGTGCGGATCCGACATAAGTCGGATCCGCGTAAGTCGGGGACTGCCTGTATAGTGTCCTTCACTTAGCCCCTTCCCTTTCCAAGGAAAACAATCAAATCTAGGCACCTCGGCTACGTCTACACTGGCATCCCTTCTGGAAAAGGGATGCTAACGTAGCACGTTGGAATAGGCAAATCCACAGGGGATTTAAATATCCCCCGCGGCATTTAAATAAAAATGTCCGCCGCTTTTTTCCGGCTTTTAAAAAAGCGGGAAAAGAGCGTCTAGACTGGCCCCGATCCTCCGGAAAAAGTGCCCTTTTCCGGAGGCTCTTATTCCTACTTTAAATATCCCCCGCGGCATTTAAATAAAAATGTCCGCCGCTTTTTTCCGGCTTTTAAAAAAGCGGGAAAAGAGCGTCTAGACTGGCCCCGATCCTCCGGAAAAAGTGCCCTTTTCCGGAGGCTCTTATTCCTACTTTAAATATCCCCCGCGGCATTTAAATAAAAATGTCCGCCGCTTTTTTCCGGCTTTTAAAAAAGCGGGAAAAGAGCGTCTAGACTGGCCCCGATCCTCCGGAAAAAGTGCCCTTTTCCGGAGGCTCTTATTCCTACTTTAAATATCCCCCGCGGCATTTAAATAAAAATGTCCGCCGCTTTTTTCCGGCTTTTAAAAAAGCGGGAAAAGAGCGTCTAGACTGGCCCCGATCCTCCGGAAAAAGTGCCCTTTTCCGGAGGCTCTTATTCCTACTTTAAATATCCCCCGCGGATTTCCCTACGACGACTGCTGAAATTTACATGCCCCTTCCGGAAAAGGGGCCAGTGTAGACGTAGCCCTCCTGTTTTCCTGTTACAATCAAACCCTGACCTTGCTTTAAGTTATCTGTCCTAGATCTTACCGTCTAGGAGTTCTTGAACAAATGGATTTGCAGAAAGGGGCACAAATTTTTAAACTATATAGGGATTTTTGTGGCCTGTGCCCATAATATTTGAATACCTTAATGGATTTAGCACCACAACACTGATGAGATAGGGAATCAATATTATCCCCATTTTACAGCTAGTCTGTGTGTGTCAGCTCCCTAAAGTAACTTGCCTCGTATCGCAGAGGAAGCCTACAGCACAGCAGGGAACCTCTTAAATGGCCAGGAGTAGCATCCTCAGACTAGACCAGGGTTTCCAAAAGATTTTTGGCTGCAGAACCCCTATGGAGTCTTGAAAATATGGCGGAGCCCTTAAAATATTCTGATTTTTTTTTATTCAATAGGTACCCAAATACATAATGTTTTGGAATTCTATTTTTATTTCTTGCATATTTCTTATAAATGCCTCCCCCCCCCCCACCCCTCTACATAACAGGATCATACAACTATTAATATTTTCTCGGGGGGAGGGGCCCTTAATCTCCATGCAGAGCCTCAGAACTCCATGGAGCACACTTTGGAAAACCCTGCACGAAACCATCCTTTTCCATGCAGATACCAAAAGTATGCACAGGTACTGGAACAAGGGATACAGTAGCATTCTCGGACTTGACCCAGTGTCACGTCAAATGGCTCAAAGCACCCTCCTGTACAAGTTGTTTCAGCACCACTGGAGGGAAGGGGCTTACCCGTACATTGGGATTCCCTTTGAGATCTTTTCCACTCAGGCTACGTCTACACTGGCACCCTTTTCCGGAAATGCTTAAAACGGAACAGTTTTCTGTTATAAGTATTTCCGGAAAAAGCGCATCTACATTGGCAGGATGCTTTTCCGGAAAAGCCCTTTTCCGGAAAAGCGTCCGTGCCAATGTAGACACGCTTTTCCGCAAAAAAGCCCCGATCGTCATTTTCGCGATCGGGGCTTTTTTGCAGAAAAGAAATCTGTGCTGTCTACACTGGCTCTTTTCCGGAACAGTTTTCCAGAAAAGGACTTTTGCCTGAACGGGAGCAGCATAGTTTTTCCAGAAAAGCACTGATGATTTTACAGTAGATCGTCAGTGCTTTTCTGGAAATTCAAGGGGCCAGTGTAGGCAGCTGGCAAGTTATTCCGGAAAAGCGGCTGATTTTCCGGAATAAGTGGCCAGTGTAGACACAGCCTCAGTGTATCCGGGATATTTTGTGCCCAGGAGAACACTTCATCCAGGTCTAGAGGATCCAACAGAGCTTGACTCTGGATTTCAGCACTCGGGTTACTTCATGTGGCGTGCAGCAGTGTCCGGCCGCTTCACCTTGCCCACGAGGCCTGCGAGCGGGCAGAGCTGGCCGGACCTGGGTGACACAGTGTGGTGCACCAGAGCCACCCCACTGGGTCTCGTGGGCTCCCGCCAGCCGCTCCAACGCGAGCTGGGGGCTGAGCTAGGAGCCACGTCAAGCATCGCCCTGGAGATGTCGCAGAGCCTCATGGGCCATGAAGTTCTTGGGGGCGCAAGCGCAGTCGTGTCACACCAGGAAGTAATGGGAACTGTAGTTCAGGTGGGCTACTTGCGCATGCGTAGTGTGGGTGCCGGGGCTACGCGGCGCCTGAGGCACGGCCCGCCCAAGCCGCTGGGTCGCTACCCGCCCTCCCGCAACTCCCAGCTGCGGGAACCTTACTGCTGGCGGAGCTCCACGGGGACAGGACCCCGCGGCCGCCGCCTGCTCGCTGCAGCAGTGCCCCCACCAGCACTACGGCATAAAGACTCGGCCTCATAGTCCGCGGGGCAAACAAAATGGCGGCTGGCTCTGGGCCCAACAG